TAATAGTGTGAAAAAAAAATTCAACCGAGTCATTTGAAGATCTAATTGGCTTTATTAACTGATTCATGAATGGGGCAGCATGCCTACAAGCAAGTAGAGATACTCCAGGAATTGTATAAAGTGAAAGGTTTTTATAGGCAGAAGGAGGGTGGGGCAAGGAAGCTATTAGCAGAAGAAAAGAAAGGATTGTTTCAGGCCAGGAATTCTCCTTGGGGGTAAGGGGGTTTTATCACGCAGATGACCTCACTAGTGCTAATCAGGAAATTTCAGATTGACTGTTAAAAAGGTCACATTCCTACGAGAGGCTGAAACTGTAATTAAGCCTCTGTCAGGAGGCAAATGATTCCATTTTGGGCCTGTTATTTCTTTTTTATCAATAGTACTCTAAGTGATGAAAGCACTCCAGGCATTTGTATGATCCCAAGTTTTAAAAATATAGTTATAGGAAAAACACCAGAAGGAACCACACCAAAATATTAACTGAGGGTCTCCAGGAAGTGGGACCGTGGTGCTTTCTATTTTTATGCTTTTCTGTATTTTTTAAAATGTCTCTAAGATATTTTACTTGTTGATTAAGAAAAAAATTAAAATATCATACAAGTCAATTGCAAAGGTTGTAAAATAGAAACCTTGTCTAGTCTTCCTTTCTAGGGAAAGGAAACCGAAAGTAAGACATCAGATATTTTGATGGAGTGAAGCCAGAGACTAGCTCTCAATCTAGCCTTTCCCTTTCTCTGGAAATTCTTACCTGAAGAAAACCCCTCAGAATAAAAACAATGGTGAGCCTTATAATTTCATTTTCATCTACCCAATTAGTGCCTTGTCAGTGATCCCCTGAGAATCCTGAACTTAACTGGATCCCTAGATCCTCTGGAGATCAAGCCCCAAGCCCTAAAGCCTCAACATCCATTTGGCTTTTGAAATGGCTCACACTCAATGTGGGGAGACCCTCCCCAGGCCAGAGCTGATCTGAATCAAATCAACTTTGCTTCCAGTCTCACACTGGGTAAAGCTAATGAGGTATGCAGTACCTCAGTTTTTGCCACATACACAACTACTCAGAGCCAGCAGGGAAGAAAAAAATTATATTCTTCTAAGTTGCCAAATGTTTAGATGGCCCACCGGTTGTTTATCTAACAATTTGACGTTTGGCCAGATTGACTGAAGATAATGAGTTTTAGTGAGGATGCTTCTAGACCTGGCAACTGCTCTACAAATCAAATCATAGAAGCTTGTGAAAAACTCAGTGCGTCCTAAGCAGCGTCGCCTCCCAACTCAAAACGATTCTACTTCTTTAAATATTCATGATCTGGATACAAAACAACAAAATTCAGCTCACATTTGATCACTCTTATTTCCCTTCCATGTTGATGATATTTTTCCATCACATCACAGAGGAATTTTGCCCGGGGTTTATAAGGTCGTATGAACTGTGTTATAGCTAAAAGCCAGACTAGAAATTGATTGTGGCCTAGAAATTGACTGTTTGTGGGGCCCCCTATTAATCCTGTTCTATGTATGTAGTGTCAACATTAGTCTTGGGTTTTCTTATGATTTTAAACTTAAATGGTTTCTTCTAGTTGGTGATTTTGCTCCAACCCCAAATTTCTCTGAAGATGTTGAGAATTCTTATTTCTGCTGTTTGTAATCCAAATGAAGACAAGCCAAGAACAAAGGAAGTAAAACACCTGGGACCCTGGAGATACTCAAGCATAGCCCAAGAGTAATTCCACAGCACTCCCATTCTGCTTAGATAGAGCCAGTTAACAAACTATGCCAACACATGAGGCATTCAGTGGCACAGCTGCTCAGTGACAGTGAACCCTTGGTAGAGTATGTTTTAATACAAAAACTCAAGAGATATAATAGCAATTTTCTTTGGGAGTAAATTGGTCTCTGAATCATACTGTAAGAACAAAATAAAAATGACTAATAATTCAGCACAAAATGAAAACCTGCGGTTACCTAAGAGGCGCCAGTGTGCATTGAGCAATTTCTTCTTTTTCTAGATGAATACACGGGTCAATTCCACAAGATGAATGGCGGCTGTGGTAAGGCTTTCTCCCTGCTGCTACTCAAAATTTGCTGCTCAGAAAAATAAATGAGTGGCATTTCACCAATACGGAAATGTTTCTAATAGAATATAAAAATCTGTTAAGCAATTTTCTAGTACATTAGGCTGAAATTGCTTAAGATGGGTCTTTCTGTGGTATTCAAATATTGCATAAATTACAGTCTTATAATACCCCTATGTGGAAAGTCCTAGTCTAATTTGGCCTGCTATTTTAGTCAGTACTTTTGTACTCACTTCCACGTGTGACCTAGTACAAGTCAAAACCACCTCTCCATTAGCTGGGAGGGGATTTCCTAATTTGAGGGTCACCCAAGCTTTCATTGGAAAAGTCATTCTTTCTGGCAGCCTGTACAGGGCTCAAAATGACCAGCCAGTTTTCCTTACAGCCAGTTTTAACAAGGCATGAGTGGTGTGAGAATCTTGGCTCTGAGCAAAAATAACAAGTCATCATTTACAGAGAAGTATCCGTAACTTCTTGCCTACTTCTCTATTCCAACTTTTTATTGATTTACAGAGATCAAAGACCACGACACCTAGGGAGCATTAAAACAAATGGAAATGCTCATATTGAGAAGCTACTTTTGAATTATACAGCATAAATCACTATCAGCCAGATCTGACATCTCTCCCTCCCCACGGTACTTGGCCTGCACATAATTCATCTTTAGAATAACACTTTCAGTAATTCTGCTCTGAAGACAAATAATCACTAAATGTCAACTTAGAAAAAGGACAGGTGATAGGTAGGGTGGAAGCCATCAAGTAATAGTATATAGGAAAATGCTACAACTGTAGCAGGGAATAAGATCTAGAACATTCCGAACATAAAAAGAATTCTGTAGAATGGTGGTTCCAAATACTTTACTGACACATAACAGGATACTATTACAGAAACTGACAGTCCTCCATTAATGGGAACATTTATGACCCAAAGGTGATAGAAAAAAAGAAATGCTTTGGAGCAAGGGAGGCCCCAGTCTGAATCTCAGCTCTACTGCATACTAGCTGGACCACCTCTTGGGCAAGTCACACAGCGTCAGTCTGTTTTCTTACCTATAAAACAGGACAACATTAACTGAACTTCACAAAGTTGTTTCAAGGATTAGAGTTAATGTAGAAAATTGGCTCATCAGACATTTCAATTATGTGCAGGCCAAATATGGTATTAGTATTCATGATCACATCACAACCCATTTACGGACCCATACTTCAAGACTGCTGCCCAGTCCAGAGAATGAGTTCTGCAGGAGTAGGCAGTCTTGGCTTCAAGTCCATATTTTATGCCTCAAGTTCCCCATTTTGCTCTTCAATGTTACCTTATATCAAATTTTCAGTATGTGTAGTATTTCATTTATAAGCCGCCTTCAGATGGATCTGAGCCTGCACATGCTGCCCATTCGGAAACTCATGACAATGGCATCCTCACATGAATTTGGGTATTTTTGTCTCAGCATCACAAACCAGAGTATGACACAATATTAAACTGTTTTAAAATACTCTATTTATATGCATCACTGCCCTCTAGTGACTAGAATAATTCTTTCTAGTAATTCATTTAACTGATGCCTTGATCTAAAAAAATAAAAATAAAAAATCTAGTTACTGATCCACCAGGAGAAAAAACCTTTTTCCAGGAAATGTGGGTTGATTCCACCATTTACACTTGATCTTACCTTCCTGATCAAAGCATCCAGCTGCGGTCAGAGCGACCATCTAAAACCATGGAGCACAGGTAGATTCTTGTCTTAAAAGTGCTGGCTGTGCTGGAGATGACCATCTAGTACTAACACATTAGGCACACTGCCTCTTCAATACCTCTCAGCTCTTAAGAAGTTGGCCTCGACAGTGTTCCTTACACTTTTCATTTAATTTTTTTACAATATGCACATATTATTTATATAATGAGGCGGAGGGGACAACCCACCATATTTTCGAGGGAGAAAATCATCTAGATTCCTAAAATGGAAACTTTGCATTCCAGATCTATTCCAGGTTTTGGAATACCAATAGAGATTGGTTAACATCCTGAAACATTGGCCTGTTAACTGTTTAACTGTGGGTCAGTTAGCTTTAAACTCAAGATGACCTCTAATCTCAGTCACAGAGGAGAATGGACAATAGTAGTAGCTACTGTTTACAGGCCAGGCCTGGCTTAGTTACTTGTAGCTAGACCGAGACGGTTTACATAACTGAGTCCAAATCTGTACACAAGCCTTCCTCCAATAACAGGAAAACCATCTGAAAGGCAAGCGCCACCAAAGGTTGAGCAAGATGCCATGTTGGTGTAAACAGTAACAAATTACAATAAACTCTGACCTGGAAACTGCTGAAAAACAGGAACTAAGAATATTTACTGGTAGAAGGTAGGTACTCAAAGATGACTCAACTTCTATTGCTGTCTTCGATAATTAAATGCCAGCGAGTTATAAATTCAGTGAAAAACTTATTCTACACACATAGGTAGGTTTGTTATCTAAATGTAAATCAAATTAGGTTTGAAATGCTAAAAGTTGAACCTTTAGCTAAATGATAAACTTTCCAATATTTTTTTCAATTTTAAAAACCAAGACAAATGATGAACCTACTCACATTGTGTGAAGCATAAGGCCAAACTGGAAAGTGGACATCTCAACACCCCTCTACCTGCCCCCCTCCCCCAACACGGGCTTCTGGATCTCTCAGCCATTCCTTGGTGAAGCAGCAATCTGTTTTCCCCAGAGACTCGTCAATAACAGTAACGCTGATGCCTGAATTTGCATCTTAAACAGATATTTCAGGATGTGGGAGCTTCTGGGACCATCACTTTAACCCAGCCTTCCATAACAGTCTTTTGACTTTCTGTTACAAAACATGACACTGCAATAACAGCAATGAACCGCTTCAGCTTTTTCACTTCTGCAGATGCTAAAACAACCTCTCCAATATATAAAGGGGCTGGAAATTTAATTTCCTGGGAAAGAAATACACAGCCCGGCCCTGGCATTTTAGTACCCAGGAGAGCTGAAATAAGTCCATTGATCAAAACTCCATGTACAATTGTCTTTCCGAACTTGGTGTGTTTTGCAAAATCTTCATTTAAATGCAAAGGATTGACATCTCCTGTTAATTCTGAGAAGGCAGCCACATCCCTCTGTGTGAAGGCCCTGCTGAGTTCAGCCCGGTCTCCAATTCTGATGTGCATATGCTGAAGGGTCTGCCTGCTTATCACTGGTTGGTTCAGGCTTATTCTCCTCTGAAGCCCACCCCACCAAAGGCGATGGCTGGAAATTACTGGGAACATCTTCAGCAGTCTCAAATTCCATCAACAGGAGCCTTTAGCCTGCTTCAGTCTTCAAACATTATGCTGGCACCAAAAAGTACTTCTGAGAGTAGAGGAATGTTTCTGAAATTGAAGACTACTCAATCCAATACTAGCTCCCTACTATTACCAGATAATGCAAGGAGAAATGGAGACACCTGTAACCAAAAGAAAAAAGTTAACACAGTATCAGGAGAAAATTGTACTGAAATACAAGGCAATGTAGAAACATGCCCAGTGGTGTTTTGTTTTTTGAGGAAGATTAGCCCTGAGCTAACACCCGTGCCCATCTTCCTCTACTTTACATGTGGGACACCTGCCACAGCATGGCTTGATGAGCAGTGCGTAGGTCCACACCTGGGATCTGAACCGGCAAACCCCAGGCTGCCGAAGTGGAATGTGCAAACTTAACCACTGTGCCACCAGGCCGGCCCCAAAACATGCCCAGTTTTATGGATAAGCCAAGCTCATGCAGTAGCATTTTAAAGAGCATCCTGAGAGGTAGCCTTAGATAAACAAGTGGTCATGACAAGCTGAGAAAGAGCATCCCAACAGATAAGGCACTAAGCATTAAGCTATAAATGAAACGTTAAGACTTTCCCACAAGAGTTCTAAGTTTTATCCCAAAATACCTCCCACACAATCTAAAATCTAAATGCTTTGTCTCACATTTTCGGAAACAGTGAAGTCCTGGATCCCCTCCCGTCCCCAGTTGGATAATGGCAACCATACTAAATTTATGCAAGCTCAAAAATGGGACACATATTAAAAAGCAGTTTGATCCACTACTCAGCCTCATTTGGAATATGTGAAGGGAGAGTCTTTACCTGAATCACTCTGAAAGCACATTTCCTGCCTTTATAGGATCCTAACAGAGTCAAAGAGCTCCATAATTTGACAAGACCACTGTGGAAAGACCAAGAAAACATAAGTGATTTGTCCCCGCAACATCACCCTTTTGTTTGTGATGCTCCAGAAAGCAGTTTCTACCAGAAAACCTAATTTAAATGAGAAAACTTTAAAAGCATAGTATGTCAATGGCAGAGAATAAAATGAAACTCGATTAGGAATTTTTCTCAAATATATATTTCTGAGTCTGCAACCACGAGCGTCAACTGGGAAACTCTACAGTTGAAAGCAAATCACAAGTTTTGCTCTCTAGAGTGTAAACTCCTGGTGGATGAATGTTCATATGCTCCCCAGTTTAAACTTCCAAAAGCTGCTCAGAGATCACAATGACGCAGCTCTTCTCATTCTCAGAAGAGAACATTTTTGCTCTTTTTGTCCGCCTCTCTGCTCTGTTATACTAGAAATGCTCCACTGTCTGTCGTACCTGCTACATATTCTCAAGATGGCTGATGAGGTCCTCTCTTCGTAGGTTAGGACATCCAAGGGTAAGGCAGCATCAACCTAAGTATGGAATCATGCTATTAGCAGACTAATATCATCATTATCTGTGAACTCTAATAACTATTGCTGTCAACTGCTTTCTCCTCCAAAAAAGCAATATTGTATTTAACGGCACTGCAATACTGAGCCTGCTTATTTACAACATCCCCTGCCCAGAATGTTCTTCTTGCGCCTCTTCATGTTGTTAATGCCTCTTCACCCTCAAGTCTTCATTTAAATTGTTCCTTCTGATCCCCAACATTAAGCTCAATCGCTTGTTATGCTCTTTCACATACAGGACCTACACTTCCTCTTTTGTAACACTCACGATTCTTGCCATTAATTGTTCAACATGGTTTCCTACTAAAATAGCCAAGACCATTAGTCCATGAGGTAGAGGCCATGTCTATCTGTTTACAGCTATATCCCCAAGAACCAGGTTTTATACCTGATATACAGAAGGTGCACAGATTTTTCTTTCTTTAACTTTTTATTTTGAAAAATTAGACACAGAAGAGATGGCAGAGAAATGTACAGGAAGGTTCCATATACCCTTCACCCAGCTCCCCCAATGTCAACATCTCACATAACTATAGTACAGTATCAAAGCCAGGAAACTGAAATTGATAAATCAGCGTTTATTCAGATTTTACCACTTAAATATGCATTCATATTTATTTATGTGTGTATGCATAGTTCTATGCAATTTTACCACATACGTAGTTTCATGTAACCACCACCACAATGCTCTCTCCTCCGACTCCTTTATCGTGACACCCACTCCTCATCCCCATCCCTAACCCCATGCAACCACTAATCTTTCTTCATATATATATATATATATTTTTTTTTTTTTTAAAGATTTTATTTTTCCTTTTTTCTCCCCAAAGCCTCCTAATACATAGTTGTGTATTTTTAGTTGTGGGTCCTTCCAGTTGTGGCATGTGGGATGCCACCTCAGCATGGCTTGATGAGCAGTGCCAAGTCCGCGCCCAGGATCCGAAATGGCGAAATCCTGGGCCACCGAAGCGGAGTGCACAAACTTAACCACTTGGCCACAGGGCCAGCCCCCAGATTATATAATTCTCATTTCAAGAGCATTATATAAGTGGAATCACCCAGTATGTTACCTTTTGGGACTGGCTTTTCACTCAGCATAATTCTCTGGGGAGTGGGTTAAGTTGTTGGGTGTATTGACAAGAAATTTTCGCATACTGAGGTATACAGGGTAGCTATTCTGGTTTAAAACTGATTTGGCTCGAAGAAAAAAAGCTTGATTTATAGCCTATCAAACACACATCGCACATCTGCTTTAATGATTAAACAAAGCATCAAACATTATCTCAAAGAATGTAGTTTTTGAAGAGAAGAATGCATACTTCCCCTCCTACGAGGCAGTAGCCAGTATCGGTAACACCCATTATCAGTGCTCCTAAAGATAAATTCCAGTTTCCCTGACATCAGGGTCATGGTGACTTGCTAATTTGCAACTGAGTATCTTTGAAACTTTGATGAATATGTATCCTGGGTGTGTTTAATGTATGTTCTTTGTTTTAAAAAGGTATAAAGCTGTATTGAAAACATGCTTCTCTGGAACACTTTCTTCCTTCTTCCATGGAGTCTGCCTTCCCAGCTTATAATCCTCAGCTTGGCTCAAGTAAGGTCACCTCACCTCTCTTATCTATAGACTGGTTACTGATTATTTGCATGGACAGTATCAGTAGTTTGTACCTTTTTACTATTGAGTATATTCCATGGTACAAATGTACCATAGTTTGTTTATTCACCCATTGAAGGACATCTGGCTTATTTCTACTTTTGGGTTCTTATTAATGTAGCTGTTATGAACGTGTGTGTACAAGTTTTTGTGGAATATTAAGTTTTCATTTCTCTGGGATAAATGCCCAGGTGTGCAATTACTGGGTTGTACGATAGGCACATGTTTAGTTTTTCTAAGAAACTGCTGGGCCAGGCCCCTGAGGCCTAGCGGTTAATTTCAGCGCGCTCCACTTTGGTGGCCTGGGCTCGGTTCCTGTGTGCAGACCTGCACCACTTGGTAGCAGCCACAATGTGGCAGCAGCTCATATACAAAAAAAAAAAAAAAAAAAAAAGGAAGATTGGCAACAGATGTTAGCTCAGGGCAAACCCCTCCTCAGCAAAAAAAAAAAAAAGAAAAAAGAAAAAGAAACTGCCAAAACTGTGGTCCAAAGTGGTTGTATCATTTTACATTCCCACCAGCAATGTATGAGTGATTCAGTTTTCCAGCATCCTTGTCAGCATTTAGTGTTACCACTATTTTTCATTTCAGTCATTCTGTTAGGTGTGCAGTGATATCTCATTGTGTTTTTGATGTGTATTTCCCTAACAGCTAACGAGGTTGAATATCTTTTCATTCATGTGCTTCTTTGCCAAGTGTACATCCTTTTTAGTGAAATGTTTATTTATGTCTTTTACTCATTTTTTTTTTTTTTCTTTTGAGGAAGATTGGCCCTGAGCTATCATCTATGCCCATCTTCAGGGACACCTGCCACAGCATGGCTTGATAAGCGGTGTGTAGGCCCACGTCCAGGATACAAACTGGCAAACCCTGGGCCGATGAAGCAGAGTGCATGAACTTAACCGCTGTGCCACTGGCCCGGCACCTACCCATTTTCTAATTGGACTGTTTGGTTTTTTACCATTGAGTTTTAAGAGTTCTTTGATATATTCTAGATATTAGTCCTTTGTCAGATATATGGTTTGCAAATATTTTCCCCCAGTCTAGAATTTGTCTTTTCACCCTCATAACCAAATCTTTTGCAGAGCAAAAAGTTTTTAATTTTGAAGAGGTGCTTAGCAGATTTTGATTTGACAGAATATACAAATTAGGAGATAATTTCCTGAAAATCACCCGTCTTTGTTCTCTCTCAAAACTACTTGTTCTCAAGTGAATGCTAAAACAGGACTACTCAAAGCGCTTGTCCTTGGGAAGCTAAGGAGACGCATCAGAATGTAAATCAAAAATGTCACTAAGCCCACTGTTTAGTTCAGCTCAGTTTTTTCCAAAGGAGACTTGCTCAATAAAGACAGTGGTGTGCTGACTGACATTCTGGTGAGAGCCACCCATCTTCGCAATGGGCAAAACAACAGTTCGCAGGTTGCCAGGCTGGACAGCACTTACAGCAACGGTGCACCAGGACAAACGTCTAACAAGTTCCTTGTCAAACAGAAGGCACACTAGAACAAACCTACCCAAAAGTCATCCTTTCTGAGTGTGCTCCTGCAATTTCAAATGTGGTTTTAAAGTTTTAAAATACGGTTTGGAAAAGTGTTGTCTCAGTATTTCTTACAAAGATCTTAGGAGTGTTCATCTACCCAGCAAACCCGTACCTCCCCAAACAGGTCCTTCAGGGCTGAGACAAGCAGCTGTTTGAACTGTGCGGCATTCAGGCCAGCCCCACAATCTTGAAATTCTCTGTAAAAAATATTCAAAAGAAACAATACATCACATTAAATTTCATGCTATTCAGATTCATCAAAAATAGAACTTAGGAGACTGGACTTACAGGCGGACTTTCATGTAGTGGTGCTCAGAGGGGTTTTTGTAAACTATTCTTTCATATGTGGTGGCTGGAGCTGGCATCTTTTCCAAAGCTGATGACACCTACATTAAGAATCAAGAAGACTAGAAAAATGTGCTATATATACACAATGGAATACTACTCAGCCATAAAAAAGGACAAGATCCTGCCATTGGCAACAACGTGGATGGACCTTAAGGGTATTATGTTAAGCGAAATAAGCCAGACAGAGAAAGACAAACTCTGTATGATTTCACTCATATGTGAAAGAAAAACAGACACAAGGATAAAGAGAACAGATTAGTGGTTACCAGAGGGGAAAAGGGTGAGAGGGCAAAAGGGGTAAAGGGGCACATATGAACAGTGACGGATAACAACTAGACTATTGGGAGTGAGTACAATGCAATCTACACAGAAACTGACATATAATAACGTACAACCGAAATTACACAATGTTATAAACCAGTATGATCTCAATAAAATAATTTAAAAAAAACAATCAAGAGGGCTAGAAATTAACAAGATACAAGCTATTTCTCACTTTTTTAATGAGAATTTGACCTATTTGATTTTTTAAAGAACTCCTAGTACAGTAACTCATCTAATTCTGGTCAAACTAAGCCTACCCATACACACACAAAGGAACTTTCTACATTCTATATATACCAGACCACTGTGCTCTTATTGAAATTCTAATCACAACCCCAGCAAACATTTTTCCTCACTGAGTATCCAGCTCTGTGCAAAACCCTTCACATGCCTTAGGTCACACGTCTTCAAAACGATCCTATGAGGTAAAAGCTAGTATTATTCCCATTTTTTATAAGAAGATATTGAGGCTTGGCGAAGATAGGTAACACCTGCCAAGGACACGCAGAGATTCCCACCACTCCTGAGCCCCCTCAAAATCATTCTTGTACAATGCCTCTTAATCAGAAACAAAGAGTAACAGCATAAAGGAGTACAATCTGGGGTCTGGAGGCCCTCTTGTTTACTCTCAGTCAACACAGAGCATGAAGAGGAGGACGAGGGGTGGACGCTCGACCTGCCTGTTCTGTCTGGAGACCAGTTTTGCACAGGGCTATCTGGCAGCCCCAGGAAACACGGAGCTTAAACAGCAAGGGGCTTGAGAAGAGGAATTTCTGGAATGGGCACTCAATGCCATTTCTAAGAGATCTGGAACTCTCAAGATCTCAGATCATGTTGATCACCCCGTAGAGAACCCCTGTCCTTGGCTCCACTCCCACCTCACTCTCCCTCTGGAGGGTCTTACTCAGCCTTCACATTTTAGCTTAAAGTTCATCCCTTCCAGGAGTTCTCCTTGTCAGGAAGGCCTTCTTTGACACCCCGTTCTAAGTTAGGTTCCCTTGTTACGCAATCTCTTATTAACACTGTCTATTGTTTAATACCTGGTTCCCCTACTAAAAACACCAGGAAACTGAAGCCCAACCAAAGAAAGGGACTTTTCCAAGGTCATATTACTATAGACCAGCATTTACAAAAATCTCTGGGTCAGGCCAAGTTCCAACCACTCCCAGATAATGACCTCCAGAGAAAATGAGAAGTCACCGTCAAGGAGCTACATCCAACCATCCACTCAACAAACATGAATATTTACTGTGTCTGGCATAGAGTAGGCATTCAACAAACACTTACTGAATATACGACCGACTGAATGGTGGTGGTGGTAGGCCTCTCCGTTCAAGAGGACCCCTGGTTTCAGAACTGCAGTAACAGTTACCTGGTGCTTCTTTCCCAGTCACTAGCCTCCCCTGACTAGGAGGGCAGGGAGACCCGGACCCTCAATCATTTCATTCATTGCCTGGCACATGATAGGTGTTTTGAAAGCATTCCAAGTGCCTTGACCGAGTTGGCTGCCTGAGGTAGGGGAACGAGATTGTTCCCAGAGCTCAGGATGCCAATAATGATGAAGACTTAGGAAGTATTCTGGAAACGGATAGTGGGGATGGTCGCACAACAATGTGAGTGCACTTAACGCCACAGAACTGTACACTTAAAAATGGTAAAATTTTAAGTTATGTATATTTTACCAAAAAAAAGACTTAAGGAGCAAGTGTTTACCCAGCAGTCACTGAGCATCAGAGTGAGGGTCAGCGACAGCCCTCTGCAGGCTGTCCTGAGATTAAAGGAGATGATGCCTGAGAAACCGTCTGTGCAGCCTGGCATATCACCATGCGCACCACAAAAAGGTGAGCAGGGACGCTCATTAACCGATCTATTAGAGGTGTCTCTGCTTCCACCTTCCTGCCCCGATCTAGTCTCTACAGCAGCCAGAGTGAGCCTGTTAAAACCTATTCAAGCCACGCCACGCCTCTGCTCAAAACCTTGCAACGGTTCCCATTTTACTCGAAGAAAAGCCAAAGTCCTTACAGCCGCCTGTAGGCCCCCCCTGATCTGTACCGCTGCTTCCTCCCACCGCTCGGACTTCATGTCCCACCATTCTCCCCTGCTCAATCCCGTCCACCACACAGGCCTCCCAGCTCTTCCCGAAACACCAGATTACCTCCCGCCTCTGGGCCTCGCCCCTAGCGTTTCTGCAGGCTGGGAACACTCTACCTCCTGGAAGCCACAGGGCTCTCTCCCTCGCCTCCTTCGCGGCTTTGCTCAAATCTCACCATTCGATTTGGTCCAGCAGCCATTCTATCTACTACTACAGCAACCCCCCCGATGCCCCTGCTCCTTTTCCTCGTGGAACTTACCGCTTTCCGACATAACTATGTAATTCATTCATTCATTATTTGCACTCCTCTCCCCCGCCCCAAAAGAACGTACAATCTACAAGAAATAGGGATCTCTCTGTCTTGTTCACTGCTGTTTCCCAACAATCTAAAACAGTGCATCGCACACAGTAGGCATTCAATATGTAACTTTTGGACTAAATCAATACATACATATATTTTTTTAAAAGCTCAATCCTCTACTGTTGGGCACTCAGGTTGTTTTCAACTTTTTTCGACTAATGTATGCCATTTAGCGCCCACCTGGCGCCGGGCGCACGCGCTTTGCACACGTGGTCCCGCTCAGCGCTCGCAGCCACCCTCTGCCACCGAGGCCGCGCGGTACAGCGGCACAGGGCGGCCCGGCCTCGCTTTCCGCCCGCGGCGTCCCGGGCCGGAGCCGAGAGGTACCTCTGGCCGCTCGGCGCGACCCGCCGTCGCTGCTACCCTGCGCATGCGCAAGCGCACCTAGGGCGCGTGGCCACGCGTCTGCAGCGCGGCCGACTGAGTCCAGTCCCGGGAAACAGGAGCTCTGCTGAGGGCTTTCGCCTACCCGCTCTCCGTCGGACTAGCCTGACGCCTCCCTGACTGCTGTTCGCTGCAAGAATCCGCCAAGGCTCGGAGCTCCTCCGCAGCGACCGGAGCCTGGGCCAGAGAAACTCCGGGGATGTTTACGTTTGGCTCCCTTCAGCCCCACCCCTCCGGTTGTGTGACGTCTAGGTACGGATGTGACGTCAGCGCGCAGGGTTCCTAAGGACCCAGGCGTGAGTCCTGGTTAGGAGTTGAGACCCGCCGGGTTAGTGCCCTCTGGTGCCCACGCCGGAGAAAGCCGTGTGTGCAAATGACTGCATGGGGTACAGGGCTCCGGGCATTTGAATTTGTCCAAGGAGCTCCCTTCGTAATTTATTTACCCATGCATTTAGTTGTTTAGCAACTTTATACCTAGCATCTTCTCCCCTGGGCATTTCCTATGTCAAGCACTCCCCAAGTACAGAACCCGCTCTCAATGTCCGTTGTGGCTTCCAGCACATAGTAGGTATTTTATCAGAGTGGACATGAGAAGACCCAGATGGTCCTATCTCCAAATGTAAGCCCAGTTTCATCTATGCATTTATTCAGTAAGTTCTTGCTGAGGCCGTGTTATGTGCTAGGTACTGAGAACTCAGTGGAGAACAAGAAACAGCCCCTGTGCTCCTGAAACATACAGTATTTGTATTTAATAATAATCATAATAGCGGCTGGGCCAGACCAGTGGCGCAGTGGTTAAGTTCGCAGGTTCGCTTTGGCGGCCCAGGTCCACAGACTCAGATCCCGGGTGCAGACGTTGCACGGCTCATCAAGCCATGCTGTGGCAGGCATCCCACATATAAAGTAGAGGAAGATGGGCACAGATGTTAGCTCAGGGCCAGTCTTTCTCAGCAAAAAGAGGAGGATTGGCAGCAGATGTTAGCTCGGAGCTGATCTTCCTCAAAAAAATAAAAATAAAAAATAATAGCAGCTGAGATTTATTAAGTACTTTCTTTGTGCCAGGCACTATGAAAAAACTTTACATATGTTATCTCGTGGAACTCTCCCATGATCCTAAGGTAGCTATTATTATGATCATCTCCATTTTACACAGGTGGAAACTGAGGCACAAGAGGCTAAGTTACTCGCCCAAGATCACACGGTTATTAAGTGGTGGAGCAGCCAGACTGACTCTAGATGGTGCTGTCCACACTGCCCCACACAACCCGATTGTGTGGTATGAGTCAGGGGTGGGTATGGCAGAGGGCCTGAGGGTGCCAAAACTCGAGTGTAAGCCCCCTTGTCTTGGGGTGTAAGCCCCGAGAGGACAGGGCCCTTTCTGTGTTGGCTCACCACTGCATTCCAGTGCCTGGCACTCAACACGTATTTGCTGACTGCAGGATGTTCATAAATGGGTGTGCTGATTCGGCCTGGGTTGGAGGCAAAGGGTTACCCTGCACAGCTAAGCCTGAGGCTGAGTCAGCTGGAACTTTCTCTCTCGTTTCTTTTCTCAAAATCCTACTGTCGGCTGTTTCCCTGAAGCTTCAGTCCTTGGCTATAGCCATGTTCTCTAGTCCTGAGGCTTCTGCTTCCCTTCCTTCTCCCCTCAGAGGAGACAGGACTTGTTCCAGATGAGAGGAAAGGTAGAGGAAATCAACACAGACCCCACAGACAGTGGCATTTCTCAGAAGAGTTTGGATTTCAGAAGCTGCCAAAACTTGCTTCAGTTCCATCCTTTGCCACTTATTCAGCTTCCTCATCTGTCACACCAGCGATTAGTAGCATCTACGCAGAGCTGTGAGGAAAAAATAGTTGGTGTAAAGTATCTGGCACCCAGATAATGCTCCGTAATGGGAGACAGTCCCCTAAACCAGCCACCCGGCAAACCCATCCTGCCAGGCTGCGGCCCTGAAAAACCAGAGCAGCTCATGTGTATTTTGGACTTAACAGAACTTGAATAATTTTCACCGTCCTGCACCAAACCCTGGAAGTGCCTTCCAAGCTGCCTGAATTCTCTCTGCTGTCTTGTTAATTCAGAGTTTAAGATAAAAGACATACCTTTGAATGATAAAGACAATAGCTCGTTGACTTTTGTTTTTCAATTAAATTTTATTAATCTAGGCATATGGCACACATTTCAAATGGTATAAAGGGATGAGCAATGAAGAGTGGGTCTCCCTCCCTCCCCTTACCCAGCCAGCCTCTCCTCTCCCAGGGGTAACCACTGGTGTGAGTTTAACTCATACCTAAACTTAGTTTCCCAGAGCTATCGGAGGGGGGCTGTCCCCTTTTAACAATGTATCTTAACATCACTCCAAATCAAAACACACAGGGCTGCCTCAGTCTTTATAAAAATTGCCTAGCGTTGCATTGGGTGGAGTCAATTGGCTCAAGAGGGGCCATTCTTGGGGCCGGCCTGTGGCGCAGCAGTTAAGTGCGCACATTCTGCTTCGGTGGTCTGGGGTTCGCTGGTTCAGCTCCCGGGTGCGGACGTGGCACTGCTGGGCAAAAGCCATGCTGTGGCAGGCGTCCCACATATAAAGTAGAGGAAGATGGGCATGGATGTTAGCTCAGGTCAGGGCCAGTCTTCCTCAGCAAAAAGAGGAGGATTGGCAGCAGATGTTAGCTCAGGGCTAATCTTCCTCCAAAAAAAGGGGGTGGGGCCATTCAGGACGCTCTCTGTGTCTGTCTCTGACATTCACAGCAGAGTTTTGGGGGCAGATCTTCAAGTATTTAATGTTCCTGGAAGCTATGGCAGCCAAGAAAGAGTTGAGTCCACAATTCCTCCCCGTCTGCTGTTTTCAGCTGCCCTCCCGACCTTGCAAACTGGTACCAAATGGATTTGCTAAAATTGAGGAGCTTCAGCAACTTTGAGAAGAAAAGGCAAGAGAGAGGCCCAAGTAGGATCATAGTCCCTTAAGATCCACAGCCACAGTTCTCCATCAGTCACGCGGGATTCGTATCCACTTACGTGAGCAGACTGTGAAGACAGGACAAAGGAACTGAAAGTGATCAGAAGTGAAAAGCTGTGGAACTGCAGCTGTTGTCCCATTCACGAAGACCTGCCGAGTGCCAACTAGCTTACTGGCAGTATCCCATCTACTCCGCAATGTCGCTATTATTATTGCCTTTCACAGATGAAGAACAAAGTATTCAGAGAAGTTAAGTCATTTGTCTAAGGTGGCGAGAGGCTCCAGAACCTAAAACGCTGTATTCCATCCCTCCCGTGTGATGACAAGCCTCCGAGCTGTTCCTTTGGGGCAACCCTGAGCATTATCTCCAAACAGGAAACTTTGAAAAGCAGGCATGCTTTCTAGTCCTTAGAGCCAAGCCTGAGACAGGGATCCTCATGGAAGTGATTTATTGGGGGACAGCTCTTATGTGAAACCTGTAAGGGAGGAGGGAGGCAGGATGGGCCAGGGGAAGAAGCTAAGGAAAGATGTGGGTTCAGCTGAGGTCTAGCCTCAGCCTGATCCCATGGGGAGTCCCGGAGCATAAATGATGCCAGAAAGCTTCCCGCCTTGGAGGCAAGGGGACCAGGCCTTCATACTCCCCCTTAGTCAGTCACTGCCTGCCACCTGCAGGGTTGCCAGATTTAGCAAATAAAAATACAGGTTGCCCCGTTATTATGAGTTTCAGATAAACAATGAATGGGATAGCCTTATACTAAAAAAGTTTTCATTGTTTACCTGAAATTAAATTTAGCTGGGCATCCTGTATTTTATCTGGCAACCCGAGGAGGAAGAGAATGGGGCATAACTTCCCTGTCATCTGAGGGCAGTTCTCGGCGGGAAGGGGGCAGCTGTGAGCCCTCAGCAGCCAGCACTCACAGCAGGTGGGGGTTGGGTGCAACAGTCAGTAGAGGGGACCTGGGACGGACAGCAGCAGCACCCACTACAGCAGGGGCTGCCAGGGCGGCTCACCAGCACTGGTGAAAAAGAACAGAAGCTTTTGCCCAGTCTGCTAAGTCCAAACCATCCCCATCAGCTAGGTGAGCAGCAGGATGGGCTGGTCCCCTGCCCCAGCCCCCAGCCCCCTCCCTGGCTGTCCTCTGAGGGTGTTTTTGCTCCTTCAGAGAAATTCCCCTGCTTGTGTTGGGGTTGGAGCTGAAGCCAGGCTGTTTAACGTCGTCTCATCTAGCGTGTCTGAAATGTATTTAAGTGATGGAGGAGACTTTCCTTAGAAACCTCTCCCCCCAAAAAAGGACCCCAGGACCCCAGGAAGGGACAATTTGGGGAGGGGATAACCACCCTGAAATTAAGCAGCCTGTTTCTGGAGGAGCCCAAGATCCTTTCTCAAGATTCAGAGAGCCTCTCCCAGGGATTCAGAGAGGTCCCTACAAAGATGTCCCCCCCATTCCCTTCCCCTGACTTTCTGGAGGACTCTGTATTCCCATTACAGGAGCCTGGGGGACCTGTGGGTTCTAACCTACAAGAGCCCCAAGATACAGAGGTAAGTGAAAAGAGCAAGCACGGGTGGGGGTGGTGGATAACAGTAATGTCCAGCATGGCCCTGTTTATGTAAAAACAAAACAAAACAAGATAAAAACCCCACAAACCAACTGCAGGGTCCTCTCTGCAGTAGCAGGGGTAGCAGGACAGTATAAGCACCCATGCACACATACATACACAGAAGGGTTCCAAGTGGACTCTGGGGGAAGGGTAGGGTTGTGCAGAGGGTGTAGGAGATGCTCACTTTTTTCAGTATTCATTTTGTTTGATTTATTTTAAAGTGACAGGGCATCATTTTTATATTTCTTAAATAAAAATCAGGACTTGCCCCTTATAGTCACAAGAGGGAGCTGTGGACCACACCCTCTGCATGCCTCTCCTTCCACCTGGAAGAACAAACTCTTCCTCAAGATGCTGCCTCCCACGCCCCACCCCACCCCACCCCCATCCCCCAACGCAGGAGAGAGGAAACTGGGAGTGCAGGCTCACCATCC